TAACCCCCTCAAATGTAAATTTATCCCAGCTGGCGAGTTACAACGTTTTGACTATTTGCTCGAGAAAAACAAACAAGTGCCAGAGCAGTCGTATAAGACACAAATATAATAAGTTCAATTTCAATGGCTTTGGACAGGTTAACCACAAAGGGCTTACAAGGCCTGACACGTTTTACGAGTTTTGCGTTGAGATCGTATGAACCTGTTTCAGTGGCTTTATGGGTTGATTCTTGGATCTTAGATTCAGATATCATTTTAGGATAACATTGAGAGCTCCTATGGGTTATCTTCAAAGAGTTTCTAAGTCAATGTTGCAGGTCCTATGGGTTGATGTCAATAGCCTTAACAGTCAACGTCACATACTTTTTGGGACATAATTAAACGGCGTAGCATATTTCTGACCAATTGACCACTTTGTCAAGCAGTTTTGGCGTGACTTTCTACCCGCGATTTCACAAAACTGGACCAACTAATTTTTATTTTTTTATGAAACGCACAAATTTTGGCTACTTTTCTCGAGGTTCTAAAGAAAAAATCTCAAAAAAATGTTTTATTTCAAAGTTTGAGTGGTAGTAAACATCATTTTAAGCGCTCGCATGAAGTGGTTAATTTAAGAACTCCCCACTGACCAACTGTTGTAGACCCTCCATGGCCCTTATTGGTTCCTATAGAATTATTTGACGTTTGCCATATGACGTCATTGTGTCGAAGGAGCAGACCACATTCTTGCACATTTCATACACTCAAAATACCTCATGGTGTCCAAGAACCTTACTTACCAATCAGGCTAAGGCCTGGTTGTCCTCTGCTGTCCGAAGAAGTTGTCTTCACTCGACTCGATCCACGGCAACATTTCACCAGCCTCGCAGTCTGCGAAGGGGCCTCTTCTACTTGGTCGATCCACCTTGCCCACTGCGTGCCTCTTTTTCTTGTTCCTGTTGGGTCGCTTTCGAGAGCCATTTTCAGCTGCTCAGCCCACCGTAGTCGCCCAATTTTTGCAATGTGGACGATGGATGGCTCTCCCAGCAGCTGGTGCAATTCGTGGTTCATTCGCCTCCTCTTTCCGTCATCCATCTGCACTCCACAGTCGGTGGTACGCAACACTTTCCGTTCGAAAACACCAAGGGCGCATAGTCCACCGTGTGTAATCAGCGCACCACCGTTCTAATCAGCGTCTTGTAGATAGTCAGCTTCGTGCGGCGGCGAATTTTATTCGACCCGAGTGTCCTCCGGAGACCAAAGTAGGCATGTAGGTGTCCATAGAGTTTACCCCATTATCACGGACGAATCGACGTGATAGCTGATACAAGCAACATTCAAATTCTTTCCCAAGACGCCATATTTAAAAAACGTTAAACACTACCGCCATCTACTCATCCGATCGCGTCATATCATGAGCAGGGGTTGAAACAGTCGACGTGTTTTACTACACTCGCTTCGTTGTCGTGCGCGACAGTCTGTTTGTATTCGTACACTCATGCTCTACCGTCGTCTCTCTCACACAACACAACCGGTAGAATAACATTCAAGCGAAAAGAAAATTATCAAATAACTATCATATGACATGAGTAATTTCGTTCTAATTCCTCAATTTGGTGTGAATTAAACCATTTCTGATCAGAAATGTTATTCCTAGGACATAATTGCTTGCTATTTTCAGAATTCACACAAGCACAACATCAGCAGCTCTTATTATGAGAAAAACTAAAATACATACATTCGTGACGGTCTTCGGCGACAGTGTCATATGACAGAGCCTGTCGTATGACATTTGAGTTTGGTACTGTACTATGATAGCTTGTTTTCCAAGTGTCAGAGGCAAAAGCAGTCGATTATCACAGAAAATGTGTCGACTACCGTGACCGCTTACAAGACTGATCATGAGCAAGGACACGAACCCAGGTAAAAATTATGTTGCCATGATTTGCGTCTCACCTCGTTTGACCATCGGTACCATTATTGCACTCACACTTAAGCATTTTGCAAACGTCAGAAAAGTCTTTAGTATAAACCAAGATAGACTTTATGGATCTACATTAGAGACCTTATGAAGTAATATTTGAAATTCTTAAAGTTAACTTCTGGGATCTTAACTTCATCATCCAGACTACAGACTTCGAAGGGCTTACGCGATAGCTACAGAGACCTCGTGAATCAGCTTCGGGGGTCTTACAAATCTGCTTCAGAGGCTCACAAGTTGAGCGTTCAATACTAGTAAGTAGAAGGCATTACAGATAAACTTTATTGAGCGCATTAGAAAACTTCATTGGTCAATTCCAGATATCTCGTAGAGGGTTGATAGATCGGGCTCAGGCACCTTGAGGCAGGGAATCAAAATCAACGATCCCAGATAAAGATCCAGATTTATGATCAGTACAAATCCAAAAATCACAACAGTGTTCACTCGGCTGTCGACAAAAGCAGGCCACTCTCGATGTGTGCTACGCGATCGTCTGTTTTCTCGGCAGCAACCATTGTGTGGTTCTCCTCATTGTTCTTCATCAGCAGTTCTTTCGATCGATGCGTCGTCGACTTTGGAAAGCAACCGTTTCGTGATGAGTGTGTGAGTGCTGACCACGTTTTGCGTCCATTTTTGCAATGGACGCGCTCTGACCCTCGTTGGCGTACAACAATTTGCCATACAATGAAACTACTGGAACCGGCTCCAGTTCTGATGGAGGAGGCTTTTTGGATAGCGGAAGATTGGATGTTTATTGTGTTGTACCTTTTGACTATAGTTTTAAGATGTATTGTATAGTGACCAAGAATCCTCGGCTCTGTAAAGTTAATTCGGTTGAGCCTTATCAAATAAATTAAAAAAACAAAAATCACAAAGGACAATTCTAGAAACGATAATGCGATTATCATTTATGTTACAGATCATGATCATATGAAATAGCGATAATCTCCGATCAACTGTCGTCAATGTGAATTCCCAAGAAAAATAATATGGGTATTTTTAGAATGGGGGTGACGCATAGAGATCGAAAATCGGTGTCCACCGCCATTTTTAAATCCAAAATGGCAGCCCTCAATTTCAGAAAAAAATAAACTGTGAAATATTCTACAATATTGGTATTTTAGGAACTGGGATGACGTATAGATGTCGAAAATAGATGTCCACTACCGTTTTGGAATCCAAGATGGCGGTCATTGGTTTTATAAAAACTGTAACCGACAATGTAGGTATTTTTGGAACCGGGTTGACGTGTAGATGCACCGCCATTTTTCTAGTATATTTAAGTTTTTTTTTTCTAAAACCAATGGCCGCCATCTTGGATTCTCAAATGGCGACGGACATCGATTTTCGACATCTACACGTCATTCCAGCTCCTAAAATACCGATATTGTAGGTTATTTGACAGTTTTTATGAAACTACGGCCGCCATATTGGATTACAAAATGGCGGCGGACATCGATTTTCTTCCACTACATGTCATCCCGGTTCCAAATACATTCATATTGTATAAACAGAGAGAGAAGGATTAGTAATTTCCATTTAACTCCACTACCTTATTTGCTTATCCTTCACAGCTACGCGTATTTCGTCTACAATGTGCAGACGAAATACGCGTATCGGTCAAGGATAAGCAAATTATATGAAAATTACTAATCCTTCTCTCTATCTCTCACTCTCTTTATACAGGTATTTCACTTAGACGTCCACATTCATCAGGATCCATATTGTAGCCTATTTGACCTTCAGAACAACTATGCCGAAGACAGCAGGTTCCTAGATTTCGAGATACATTACACAGTGATTGTTATCATATTAGTGAACTATCGTTTTTGTTGCTGATGATGATGTGTAACGGGTCAACTGCAGATACCGTTAAGAGTCTAGATGGATCAGCTTATAGTTAAATTTCAGACCCCTTCCGCGACAAGCTTACGGAAAAGTTTACATAGCTTGTGGATTATTTTCCGAGGTGTTAGCCAGCTGTTGAGGTCCTATGGGTTAACTTTGTAAGTCCCTACTACAGGAATTTATTATATCAACATCGGATGTCTTTACGGAATAAGTCTGCAAATCTTATGAGTTCATTTGAATCATGAGCCTCAATATTTTGTATTAACTCCGAAGGCCTTGTAACCCAACTTTAGAGGTCTTGTGAGTCGCACTTCACCTCTGGCTTAGTAATACCATACCTTGACTGACTGGGTTAAGGTCTCAGCTATCCTAGTCAGGAAAACACGGTACTACCAAGCCAGAGGCGGCGCTTTTGATTCCTGTTCCGGTGTAGAACATGTTTCGGGTTGGAAAAGTTCCCGACTTCCCTGGGCATATTTATTATATTGACTGTGCTTGCCGCATAATACACAAATTCTTGCTTTGATTAACATAGTAAGCTTCTAATTAATAACTGTAGAAGTGCTTCAAACAATACTAAGTTAGTTGAAAGTAAGCGTAAGCTCTTATAAGAGCGTCAAAGCCAGGAAGAAGAATAACTAACTAGGCTATACAAGGCCCAAAAACTCTCTGGATACTTCGGAATCTGCAAGAAGTTCCAGGAACTTCCAAAACTCTGCGTGTCTTCTAAGTTATAAGCTCCAGAAGTTGCTTTTGTTTTGTAAATTATGTTCTGAGGTACTTAAAGTTTCCGGAGTTCCAGATATTTTCAAAGTTCCGTGAATTCTTGAAGGTTCTGAGTTTATTGGAATTTCGAGTGTTTTTTAATACCCCGGAATTCTAAATCCTCATGAAGTACTGACATATTTCTCTAAATTTCTGAAACGCTGAGAATTCTTAGAGCTCCGGGGTGTGTTTCCTACCCGGGACATCCCGGGACCAAATACCACGTTTCCCGATTCTCGGGAAACAATTTTAGAAGTATTTTTGCCTGAAAAATACACGATTTTTTCCAGAAGAGTCATAAGAAACATCTAAGAAGAAAGTTAACATAAACGTCCAGAGGAAGTCTAAAGATCTTCTAAAGGAAAATCGGAAGAATTCTCAAGGCAAAGTCAGATGAATTTTCTAAGGAAAGCCAGAAGAAATTTCTGGGGGAGTCCAGGGAAAATTTGCGAGGAAATCATAAGACATTTCATTAAAATGTCAATTTGTTACATGTGACCTATTTAAAATGAATTCTGGAAATGTAGACAAATTATTTTCTCGGTTCAAATACCTTTCATTCAATTCATTATGTAATTCAAATTTCAGCCAAAAACAGTTAAAAATAAAAATCTCAAAAGTAACACAACTGCTGAAATAAACAAGTTATTTCGATCTTTCAAATTATCAATCTCGATCCTAGCTCAAGAAATCAATGATCCATCGTCCATTTCGTACGATAACAATAAATAAAAACCCTACGCTGGATCCGAAAATCCTCGTTCCAGCACCCTCTCGACAGAATTCTTATTAAGTCTCATTCGTAAATATGTATGTATGTGTGTGTATGGGTTTGTGTGTTCTTGTTCATGTTTGAGAGTATGTCAGTGGTGGTACTGCCTTGTCATTCAATCACTTTTCAGAACCGATTCCAACGGATTGGGACCACGGAACTTCGAGGTAGACGAAGCGGACAGCGAAGGCTTCCAACCTCCTTCCGATAGCCCAACGCCGCCGCCATTACCAACTCCGCCAACACCACCGCCGCCACCACCTCCAGCAACACTGGAGGAAATCAGGGTGGAAGATTTGGCCGCTGATCCGCCTTCCACATAGGCCGTCCGTTGGGTTTGCAGACAGTTGAGCCACTCGGAGAGAGTGATCTTCCGGTCGTTATTTACGTCGCAGTACCGGGGCATCTTTTTGCCGCACTTGCGCAGTTGTCTTTTTGGGAAAGTGTACACATTGTAGCATACTGGTACCATTGAAGGTGAACTCGTCAAAAAGGACTATGAACCACTTACCTTGTTTCCGTGACAAGCTCCCGGAAGGTTTTCCACTCTTTCCTCTCCCAAACCTTGTTCTTGTTCTTATCCAGAAGCACAAAGCTGAGAGTCGCAATCTTTTCGTCTTCGCTTCCCCACTTCGTGTTGTCCGCTCTGGAATAATTGAAAAATTTACATTTCCAAACCAATCCAAATCATAACCGAGTCCTAAAAAAAAAACTTACGCCGTCACCGAATTACTCGCAATCTGTTGCTTCAAAAAGTCTTTCAAATCTCGCAAAAAATCCAACTTCTTATCATCCGGACAGCCACGCATCTGTCGACCTCCGACGCCCGGATAGACGTCACACTGCGGTCGTTTGTCCTTGGTTGACGTTCCGGGAATGTTCTTTCCCGTATCCTCGTGGACGCACCAGCAATAACCGGTGGAAAGATAGCACTGCACCCGTTGGTACCGACCATCTGCGGTACACTCCGGAACGTACAACGCGGTGGCTCCACTCTGGAAAGCGAAATCCATTCTCATTAAAACCGGCATCCAATAATGGGGCATCCGGACGGAACTCACCCTTTGCTCTTCCAAAGCGGCCGTCCGGTCACTCAAGCAGTCCGATTCGGCTTCGCTGTCCTTGAAGATGGGATCCTGGTCACCCTTCAGCTCCAGCGTTGTTTTGCCTTGTAGCACTGAGCTCAAGAGGGGGAAGAGAGGAAAAGAGATTAGCTCTAATGTGTGTTGGCATTGAAAGATTAGCATTTTTGAAGATCTGAAGCGTGTCCTAGATGTTGCCTAGCAGCAGCACATTTGAACGTAAAATTGGTGCGGTTTTGACGTAGGATTACGTCTTTCGGCAACATTTTGGGGTGCAATTTAAAAAAAAAACCGCGTTTAGTTCACCGATTTAGAAATCGAATTCCAACCGGTCTCGCCCAACGGTGCTTATTCAATCACCGTGTGTGGCGGTGTCCGGTCGTCATCATCAGCAGCAGCAGCAGTGCTTTCGGCGCGTGGCGTTGTACACTTTTCTCCAGTACACATCGAAAGCCTCCCCGCAAGCAGCCAGCTATCAAGGCTGCCCTCAAGAGCCCTCGATTTACCGAAGAAGGAGGAAGAAGCTGCACCGCTACTGATCGGATTCAGTTGCTCGTCGTGAGCCACTGTGGGCCAAGATTGATGAGGCCATGATTTAGACTTGCAGAATGCTTTAAAACCTTGATAAAACTTGCCATGTTACTTGGGTAACATGATATTTGGCAACCGCTCAAGAATTTTTGGAACAATGAACAAGGAAAAGACGCTTGAAATCACCTTCGTCTGCAACACGCGCACCCAAGTTTACGTTCAAATGATGTTGTTCGACCTAGAAGAATAAATAGATGACTCCATTCACCAAGAAGAGTAAAAAACAATCATCTAGTTTCTTCTTACTCAGTTGCTGTAACAGGAAACGGAAAATAAAATCAAAAACACTAGAAAAAGAAACAGAAAACAATCGAATGACAGATGTTAAGGATGAGAATACAGATAGAGTTTTTAATTTTGCCAAAAACCGAAAAATGAAAGGAGCTTTGAATATCTCGTTTGTTTTTTTTTTCTTTTTTGAAAATGAAGACAATTCGTCCAAAAGTGATTGATTTCACATTTAGTTCTTGATGTCTTAGCATCCGTCATCGGAGGGAAATATGCACTACACAAACAACCAAATTGGATCTACTACAATCTAATAATCGCTAGGCAGAGGGAAGGATCTCATCTACTGTACTGGATTGCTAGAAGAAGGACTTTCTGAGAACACGTAAACAATCACACAGAAGGAGACAGGGTTGTGTGGGTGTGCGTGTGTGAGTGTTGTGGGATTTGTGGATTTGGTATGGCGGGAGGAAGGGGGGTGGATCTCTGTAACAATCGACTCGAATTAGATACATACACAGATTGGGCTGCAGCCGCTTGCCGGCAAAGCTAAAGTGCAGTCCGTTTAGTAGCGTATTATCACTATCGGGCAATTCGTCCGAATCGTCGTCATTTTCTGAGTAATCATCTTCATCGTCAAAATCAGTGTAATCATTGGAGCTATTCTGCTGTGTCTCATCGTACCGGAGGAAGCTAGTGCTAGAGCTAGAGGAAGAATGTGAGGAGCCGACACCGACACCGATTAATGTGCCACCACCGTTTCCACCGCCGCCGCCGACGCCAACGCCACCCAGATGATGATGCTGGTGGTGCTGGTGGGGGTGTAGCTGTTGCTGATTCGCCTGTTGATGGTGGTGTTGATGCGCCGCAGCGACGGATGATGGTGATGATTGTGATGATTGTGGGTGGTGGTACCGGTGATCCATCTCGGCTGGATGGTCACGCGATTGAGAGTGGGGGGAGGGTTGTTTTGATTTGTTTGAAGTTTCGTTGTTGATTTGTTGTTGTAGGTGGTGGTGTTGATTTTATTTTTATTTTTTTGTTATTACAGTTACCAAATTGAAATTGAACAATAGAGAAGAGTGAGGAAGAAAATGAAGTCACAATTAATTACAAAACATTTAATCACATTTTGTACTTAATACTAAGACTAAGTGAGATGGAGGATGTGTGTTAGTCACCAAAGTTATTCGATTAAATTTTGATGGGTTGGAGTTCTACAAGTGTTGCAAACTGTACATTATTCGTCCTACGAGCTTCAATTTCGTCCTAACGCATTTAAACGGCAAAAATAGAATGGAAAAATGGGTTCGCTTGAAGTGCTAGAGAAATAAGGGTGTAAACTAAGCTTTCGAACTAAAGGATCGTACCAACAATGGCGCAGCCAGGAATTCGGTCTGAGCAATAACTTTTTTTTTGTTCTACGATTTTTGTCCATTTGTGTCCATGGTTTTGAACATGCCATGCATTTTTCATGAACTATTAAAAAAAAATATTTATATAAAGACCATTTCCAGGTCAAAACGCAAACCTGTTGCATCTTTCATTTAAATATGATTTTTCTCCAGAGTAACTTTGAAAAAGTTTTTTTCAAAAATATAATAACTTGATCATAATAACATTTGAGAAAATTTGTAGATAATTAAATGCTCTTTGAGAATAAAAATACACTGGCAGAAAAAAACTCAGTGAATTCAAAGTAAAAACATAAAACGTTGATTTTCTCAAAACATCCCCCTTCGATTTTTATTAATTTGTTTACTAAAGAAAGCTGAAGTAGTGCTCTAAAATTTGGTGAAGAATGTAAGCTGGTAATTTGCTTTAATTTTTTTTTTCAAAATATAACGAAATTGTATATTTCTTAGTCAAAAAATAATTTACTTGGAGTCTACGCATAATTTAAGTCTTTACATTTCCAGTCCAGAATTGGAAACATTTTATTATACCCTTTTCAACTGTTAGTCTCGATTTACAGCAACAAAATGTATTTTCCATGTTTGTATATTAAATAACACACAATTAATCCTCAGATATGGTAGCTGCCAGACTTACCCGCTTATATCTGGGGGCAGCGGAAGAAACAGGATAAGAAACAGTATTTTTTACCACTCATTAGTTGAATACATTAAATATTTTGGGTGAATCATTAGGATTAGAGAATATTTTTACTGCAATTTGTTTGAAACTGGAATATAACAATGATTTTTTCAAGTTCCACGAATTCGAAGGGGGTGTTTTGAGAAAATCAACGTTTTATGTTTGTTACTATGAGAACCTACTGAGTATTTTCTTTTAGTGTATTTTTTTTTCTCAAAAGCATTTAATTACCAACAACTTCTTCTCAAATGTCATTTTGATCAGATCAATCATTTTCATGTTATTATTTTTTGAAAAAATATAATATTTTTTTGAATACGCCCTTTTAAAAAGTTACTCTTGAGAAGAAAAAAAAAACATTTAGATGATAAATGAAGTCATTGGTAGCAGCAAAGATGTGAGCAATGTTTAATTCCATTCGGAAGGGGTCGAGACAAAAATTACATTTTTTAATGTTTTGGGCTGGAAATGCTCTATACTTTTTGAAATATTTCTGTTTCTATCACTTTTTTTTTTTTTTAATTTTTACTGAATATCATAAAAAATACCGTGTAGGTAATTTTTCTCTACAACTTTGTCGCAGACGTCATTTCGATCAGAACTGACGTTTACATGTTACAGTTTGTTGAAAAATGAACACGCCATTTTGTTAAAAATTAGCAAGATCCAAATCCGTCTGTTAAATTTCAAACTGTTCAATTGTTAACTTGTTAACTTTGAATTGTTCAGCTTTCAACAAATAAATATCAATCTGTTTGTTTCCCTACTGTCCAATTTCAAACTGTTCAATTTCCAGCTGTTCAATTTCTAAATGATCAATTTTCTATTGCCCAATTTTCAAATACCAATATTCAACTGCTAAATTTAAAACTAAGCAATTTTCAATTGTGCAACTTCATACTTTCCAATATCAAACCGTTCAATTTCTAAATAATCTAATTTCATTTTTCCAATTTCCAAATGCCCATTTTTCAATTGTTCAATATTCAACTACAAAATTTAAAACTGTTAAATTCCCAACTTTGAGATTTCCAACCGTTCAATTTCATACTGTTCAAATTCCAATTGATCTTCCAGCTGTTCAATTTCCAACTGTGCAAGTTCATACATTCCAATTTCTAAATGATCAATTTTAAATTGGTCAATTTCCAAATGACCATTTTCCAATTGTTCAATATTCAACTACTAAATTTAAAACTGTTGAATTCCCAATTTTACGATGTCGTACCGTTCAATTTCATACTGTTCAAATTGCAATTGACCAATTTCCAACTGTTCAATTTCCAAATGATCAATTTTTAATTGTTCAATTCCAACTGTTCAATTTCCAAATGATCAATTTTTAACTGTCCAATTTACAAATGCCCATTTTCCAACTGTTCAATATCCAAGTAATTAATTTAAAACTGTTGAATTCCCAACTTTACGATGTCCAACCGTTCAATTTAATACTGTTCAAATTCCAATTGATCAATTTCCAACTGTGCAATTTCAAACTTTCCAATCTCAAACTTTTCAATTTCTTAATGATCAATTTTCAATTGTCCAATTTACAAATGCCCATTTTCCAATTGTTCAATATCCAAGTACTAAATGTAAAACTGTTGAATTCCCAACTTTGCGATGTTCAACCGTTCAATTTCATACTGTTCAAATTCCAATTGATCAATTTCCAGCTGTTCAATTTCTAACTGTGCAATTTCATACTTTCCAATTTCAAACTTTTCTAATTTCTAAATGATCAATTTTCAAATGCCCATTTTCCAATTGTTCAATATCCAACTACTAAATTTAAAACTGTTGAATTCCCAACTTTGCGATGTCCAACCGTTCAATTTCCAATTGATCAATTTCCAACTGTTCAATTTCCAACTGTGCAAGTTCATACATTACAATTTCTAAATGATAAATTTTCAATTGTTCAATTTCCAAATGCCCATTTTCCAATTGTTCAATTTCCAACTACTTGTTCAATTTCCAACTGTTCAAATTCCAATTGACCAATTTCCAACTGTTCAATTTCCAACTGTTCAATTTCCAACTGTTCAATTTCCAAATGATCAATTTACAAATGCCCATTTTCCAATTGTTAAATATCCAACTACTAAATTTAAAATAGTTGAATTCCTAACTTTGCGATTTCCAACCGTTCAATTTCATACTGTTCAAATTCCAATTGATCAATTTTCAACTGTTCAATTTCCAGTTGTTCAATTTCCAACTGTGCCAAACTAAAGTGCGGTCTAATTGACCAATTTTCAACTGTGCAATTTCAAACTTTTCAATTTCTAAATGATCAATTTTCAATTGTCCAATTTTCAAATGCCCATTTTCCAATTGTTCAATATCCAACTACTAAATTTAAAACTGTTGGATTTCTAACTTTTCGATGTCCAACCGTTCAATTTAATACTGTTCAAATTCCAATTGACTAATTTCCAACTGTTCAATTTCCAACTGTGCAAGTTCATACTTTCCAATTTCGAACTGTTCAAATGATCAATTTTCAATTGTCCAATTTTGAAGTGCACATTTTCCAATTGTTCAATATCCAACTACTAAATTTGAAACTATTGAATTTCCAACTTTTCGATGTCCAACCGTTCAATTTCATACTGTTCAAATTCCAATTGATCAATTTCCAACTGTTCAATTTCCAACTGTGCAATTTCAAACTTTTCAATTTCTAAATGATCAATTTTCAATTGTCCAATTTTGAAGTGCACATTTTCCAATTGTTCAATATCCAACTACTAAATTTAAAACTGTTGGATTTCTAATTTTTCGATGTCCAACCGTTCAATTTAATACTGTTCAAATTCCAATTGACCAATTTCCAACTGTTCAATTTCCTATTGTGCAATTTCATACTTGCAAGTTTCAAACTGATCAATTTCCAAATGATCAATTTAAAATTGTTCAATTTCTCAATGCCCATTTTCAAATTGTTCAATATTAAACTACTAAATTTAAAACTGTTCAATTTACAACTTTGCGATGTCCAACCGTTCATTTTCATAATGTTCAAATTACAATTGATCAATTTTCAATTTTGCAATTTCATACTTGCCCATTTCAAACTGTTCAATTTCCAAATGATCAATTTTCAATTGTCCTATTTCCAAATACCCATTTTCAAATTGTTCAATAACCAACTACTAAATTTAAAGCTGTTGACGTTTCAGTACTTGGAATTAATTATATGATTTGAGTAGTAGCTATACTGAAGATCCGAGAGATGTCGCCCCTTCAGTGGTAGGAAAATCATGTTTGCAGTATGGAGAATATCAGAAAATCCACGATTTGTGACTAAACATGCTTTCACAGAGGGAAACAAATAAACGAGTGTTTACCTTATCACCATAGTAATGTACTCGTGCAATTTTTGTGCATCTAAAACTGCCCATAAAGACGATAATGAATAAAAACTGAAAATTTTCATGCATTTCCAAATGGTTTCCTACCATTCCCATACATTCGAAAGTGACTGGCCCTCTGGATGTGGATGATGTCAAAAACAACAAAACATGATTAATTGACCTTCTTTATGGGATATAAATTTGCACCGTATTTCGTAGAGTGCAAAAAGCTTTACGATCTTAAATTAAAACAAGCTCTGATGAAGATCCCAACCCCTGGACTCTGAACCCAAACGAAATAATTAATTCTTCGAGATCCTTCAGAGTATATAGACTTTTCAGATGTTTCCGGTGCATCTCTGAAGTTTTTGCTACTGTCTTATATACACACTTAGAAATAACTAATTTTACACGTGACGTAATCCATCTTTGACATAAAGGATGAGACGTAAACAAACATGTCATGTAAAATTAAGTGCTTCGAGACTGAAAAGTTCGTTACTCGACGAAAAGTACGTTTGATTGAGCTGAATTTCTCGTCTATTATGACTCAATTTTATGTCAAAATTGACGCTCGTATATGTCAGTCTCAGTGCACCTAAATTTACATGACTTTTTTAAGTGTGTAGATCTCTGAAATTCAGTAAAGTTCTCAAGAGTTTCCTAAATTTCTCAGAACTTTTTAAAAGTTCCCGCAATTTTCCTGACATTAGTTGATGTGCCCTGACATTATTTGATCTATTAGATGTTCCTGCATTGCAAACCTTTCCTTCCAAGGAAGGTTTTTCAATGTTTTGAGATGTAAATATGTGTTTTTTTTTTTCAAAAAAGTGCTAGAACAAAAGATGTTCCACACAACCTTAAATTATCGAATCTGTAACAACAAGTTTTTGTTTAAAATTAATAGTATTTTAATTGTTTTTTCAATAGTTACTTAATTGAATTCGTTCATAAAGGGTGATACGGTCAAAATTTGGTCAATATCAACTTGACGTATTTCTTTCAATTTTGCATTTAAAAAACCTGAACACCCCTCATTTTGAAGGTGTGTGTGTAGAATGTTGCTCCTATTTTGATTTTGGAATTCACTCTTCAGTTGTCAAAATGCCGTCCAAGCGAGAAGAGCAGCGTATCAAAATTTTGCTCGCGCATCGCGAAAATCCGAGCTACTCGCACGCAAAGTTGGCAAAATCGCTAAAAGTTGCCAAATCAACCGTTACAAATGTAATTAAAGTGTTTGGGGAACGTTTGTCGACAGCCAGGAAGTCTGGATCGGGGGGAAATCGAAAACCGGAAGCCGCTGAGACGACAAAGAGAGTTGCCGGTAGTTTCAAGCGAAACCCTAACCTCTCTCTCCGAGATGCCGCAAATAAGCTGGGTGTATCGTCTACAACCGTGCATCGAGCCAAAAAACGAGCCGGACTATCGACTTACAAGAAGGTAGTGACTCCAAATCGCGATGATAAACAAAATACGACGGCCAAAGTGCGATCCCGGAGGCTGTACACGACGATGCTGACGAAGTTTGACTGCGTGGTAATGGACGACGAAACCTACGTCAAAGCCGACTACAAGCAGCTTCCGGGACAGGAGTTTTATACGGCAAAAGGAAGGGGAAAGGTAGCAGATGTTTTCAAGCACATGAAACTGTCAAAGTTCGCAAAGAAATATCTGGTTTGGCAAGCCATCTGTACCTGTGGCTTGAAAAGCAGCATTTTCATAGCTTCCGGGACTGTCAACCAAGAAATTTACGTGAAAGAGTGTTTGAATAAACGTCTGCTGCCTTTCCTGAAGAAACACGGTTGTTCCGTACTGTTTTGGCCGGATTTGGCATCTTGCCATTACGGTAAAAAGGCCATGGAGTGGTACGCCGCCAACAACGTGCAGGTGGTTCCCAAGGACAAGAACCCTCCCAACACGCCAGAGCTCCGCCCAATTGAGAAATACTGGGCTATTGTCAAGCGGAACCTAAAGAAGACCAAAAAAACTGCTAAGGGCGAGCAGCAGTTCAAGGCAAACTGGCTTTCTGCGGCGAAGAAGGTGGACAAGGTGGCTGTACAAAATCTGATGGCAGGGGTCAAGCGTAAGGCCCGGCAATTCGGATTTGGAAAAGCGGAAGCCTAACTGAATATTTTTCCTGAATTTTATACTAATTGAACTTGAAAAAGAAATTTAATTTGATTTTTTAAATAAACGATTTCACCGATTTACACGCGTTTTCCTTTGACCAAATTTTGACCGTATCACCCTTTATGTATGAGAATAATGGACACACGGAGAAGTAATACTACATTTATACCAGACACGAACAAAAGATAACTCTGTCGTTCATGTCCGGTATTTGTTTATTTGTTTATTTGTATATTGAAAATTCAACAGTAAATATGTTTTTTTTTGTTTTTGTTCTTTATTAAGGAGATTTTTAGCCTATGGCTAGTTCATCTCCGAAGAAAGGAGAGGGCTCAGAGTGAGTAACCTCTAGATACATGGTATATTAACATTTAGTTAATAACTTTGGTTGCTGGCTCTTCAACTTATATGAAAAAATAACAATATATAAAATAATGAAACAGAAGAACAACAGAAAACAAAATGATTTAAGACAAGCTACAAACGATTAATCCAAACAAAACAGAGCTCAGCTGGCATGGGTCCAATAGGGGAAATCCATCCAGCTGAGATGTCCCGACGGCCGAAATAAATTCCTGCTATACCAAGTGGTAGATTTTGGCTTCTTTTAAGAAGGTTACTAGTGCTGCCGAGGCCGAAGTATCATTCCCGAGCAGATCGATGATGCTGGAAGTTAGGCAGAGTGACTCCCGAAGATTTTGGAACTCCGGGCAGTTGCACAGGATGTGTTCGACGGTGTAGGATACCTCACAGATGATGCAGCTTCTGCGGAACGGCAGGCCACTATAGTTATAGTAGAGTTTAGTGTGCCCGGTTCGAAGCCGCGAAATCACGCAACAGTAAATATGTAGTATTTATGCACTATTTCGAAAGAGTAATAGAACTTACGAAAAAAAACACGGTGAATGGAGTACCGAAGGTGACTGGCTACATGACAGTACGATACTATAGCATCATCATAAAATTTACGTGTTATTCAAATCATATTTGGCCTTAATTATCAACTTTCAAAAAACCGGAGACGAACCAGCCCAGGACTGAAAAGTCTCCTTAATAAAGATATAAAAAAAAAACTTTCAAAAATATCTGGATTTACGGACTACGTGTCTGGATTTCGGTGCATTACGGTATGTGTTCAAATATTTGGTACTTGGGAAGCTACAAGAGGTGAACGAAATGCGTATATCTGCAAAAGGGAAAGGACCTAACACGGTAGTCAACAAATCACTAGTACCACCCACCTCAAACTACATTAAGGTAAGTTTTAGGTCATCATGATCAAATTGAAAAAAAAAATTGCTACTCGATAGCACTATTTGCAACATTTGTTAGAACTTTCAAACACCATTCGGGGGATGGATTGGAATTTTCATGATGCATGAATTAGTATGATGCTTTCGAGTGATGGAAACTTACGACCTCAAACGGAATCAACCATCTTCAACTTACGTGTTAGATTGTCTTTGGAGAAACAGTTGGCCCACTCCAGTCGCGACAGTCGTTCATCCTGGTCGGCGTCACAGCTCTTCCCAAAAGACCTACCACAGCGTTTGGGTTTCACAACCTACCGTAGATTAAAACATTAAACTTCTTCCCACCAAACAAACGTCACTCAGAAACCTCACTTTCTTGATCAGTCGCTTCAGCTCCCGGTACTCGGTCTTGTCCAGCATGCCATTCCGGTTGCCATCGATCGAGGCAAACTTCCAATCCAGGACGGTTTTCTCGCTGACGCCACCGCTGCCACCGGAGGAAGCCGTTAATCCGCCTTTCACGTTCTGCTGCACCCGAATGTGCTCGTTCTCGAACAGTTTCAGCAAATTACGGTTGAACACGGCCCGGTCCATGCGGGAACAGCCTGTCGATGGAGAAAAGGCCGTGAGTCGTAAGAAGTTGACAAGTGTTGAGAGCTGAACCGGTTTCCCGCGTGGCTTATTTTTAATCCCTGTGAGTGTGCAGTATTCCCCCAACATGGCCAGAAGCCCGATTTTTGGTCAGATGGCAGAGCGCGATAAGAAAGTGTTAAAAAGCCACTCACTTAAGGCGAAAATTATCAAGCTCGTAAAAAACCAATCGAATCGAACCGCGAGCGCGTGCTAAACAAAAAATGCAGAGAGCGCCATAAATTATCGGATCGATAAATATTTTGAACCTGCGAACTGCCGGAATGCCGTCGTGTTATCAATCTGGTAGGATTAGGCCACGGGGTATAAACAAATGATACTTACTGCGTTTGTTTCTAACCGGATTTCTCGGCGAGGATCGCCGCTGGTTCGATTTGCCCTTCTTCACGCAAACCGGTTTCCCGTGCTGGACCGTCGTGTTGGGCAGTGGTTTGCCTTGGCTATTGACGCACCAGCAGCCGACGCTTTCCAAGCACTGGACCGGGGCGTAGGTTCCGTCCTCCCGGCAGCGGGGCACAAATTTCACCCCGTACGGAGAGTTGGACCGATGCTGGAGGGCGTACGTTCGGGATGCGAGGCAGACGTCTGGAATTATTAAAAAAAAATTGGGATTTTTAAAAAGTTAATCAAAAATGGCATTGCGACAACATCTGTACGATCCTTGTTGGATTGATTTTGCCCTCAATCGTTCACTGCCAAAATCCGCTTTTGCACGGGATAGATCTAAGGAGCGTTGTACAAACGATGTTAGAATAAATTGATAAAACAACCTGTGAAACGCGGGAAATTATCAAGCGGAAGTTGAAGAAGACTAGCAAGGTGACTCGGAATGCTGCAAAGATAGCCAGATCACAGACATAACACTCGTAAGTTGCTAATCGAACACGCATTTAAAGGTCAATTTGAATGTATCGTAGTTGGTAGTACCATTTGCCTTGCGTTTGTCGTTTATACACTATCGCCATCTGTTCAGCGTACTGCCCATCACAGTGTACTCAACAGATGGCGGTAGTGTTGTAGCGACGATGTTTTACAGTGAGAAATATTCAATGTGTTATGTCTGTTTGTCTGTGGCCAGATGATGGCTGTAGTTAATTTGTTTCGTACTTGATAGAAATCATTATTGAAATTCGATGAAATTACATAGCCCCGTTAATGTTTTACGTATGTGAATGCCAAATTGATATTTTTCAGCTCTCATACGCTCTCACTATCACGCGTGATATTGGAGCAAAATATCATGCTTGACATTGGTTTTACAAGCTCCTTTGATATTGCGAGACTATTCACAACGTGTAAAGTTGAAGCTGAGAGTAGACTCGACGAAAAAAAGATCCCGTTGCACCTCGTCGTCTTAGCAAGAGAAGGTATTATAATTAAAGCCCTCTAGTTAAAGTATGGACGACTGTCACCACAAAACTGAAAAAAGCTGTTCCAATCGAGCAAAGCGGTGCATTTTGACGGTTCGATTGGAGCTACTTTTGACAGATGTCCATATGCTTTCTCTGTTTTTCTCTTCACCGATGGCAGACACGAAGCGACTGTTGTCAGCCGTTATGGAAGCTTCGATTGCGTTCGGGTGTGAAGCAAAAATCATGAAACTCAATCTCACCACAGTTTGGTGAGACTTGCAGCCAGCGTTGCCAGTATTCCAGATTTATCTGGATTTTCCAGACTTTTAGTCGTCTTGCCAGATACACAGACAGACCACGTATATTTCCAGATTTTTTAAATATGTTCCAGATTTTCCCAGATTTTTTAAACATGTTGCATTAAAAATATCATTGCAATTGATTTTACCCTCTAATAAAAAAATAAAAAGCCAAACTTGCTACTTTAATTTTCAAAGGCGATCAATTGGGATTTTAAGGTAATTCTGAAAATAGTTCACAGTTAAGTGTGGGGTGAATTCTTTGTGAAATCAATGGAGAATTTCAAGCTCCATATTTTTGGGCTTCGTGGTCGTGCGACGTCACCCGTCGTTCAGGCGTATTGTGAGTTCCACGAAGTGAGGGTTCGATTCCCGCTCCAGCCGGTGCAAATTTTACCAACCAGAAAATTTCCCTACTGGTCTAATGGGTGTGGTGTGTTGTCCGTTGTCTAGTGTTAAATATTCAGTCTGTGCAACCTCTGCTTGAACACGGTGTCAATTGTCTTGTCAACACTGATGACAATTGCATGGAGATTTTGTCAATAAAGGAAATACAATCCGGAAGAGAAATCATAGAAAATTCTTATGATGAATCTTAAGGAGTATGCTGATACGAATCGTGAGAATAATTTCAATGGAATTCTGTCTGTGAGAATAATTTGAATGGAAATCCATGGAGATTAATTTTAATAGAATTTTAAACGCAATTTCTGGGAGACTTTCAACATCATTTTGGCAAAGTACTTGAGTACTTAGATAATACTGAAAAGGATTTCAAAACAATTCTGACCTTACCTACAAAGCATTTTAAAGGGAATTATCGGATAAGTCTGAGAAGAGTGTGACGGTCATTCTGAAAACATATTTTATGAATTTCATAGAGAAAAATGGACACAAAATTGAGCCACTTCTTGAGAATAATTACCAATTTGAGGGAGTTGTGGAAATGGAGAGTGATTTATAAGAGATTACAAGAGGTAATGCTAAGAACTCTTAGAATGTTATTGGAAAAGTTTAGATATTTTCAAGATTATTTTAGGGGAATATAGAAAAGAAATATGATGGAATTCTAGGATGATTTGAATTGAACTTCCAAGAACTTGAACTTAGAGAGTTCCAAGTAAATTCAGACTAACAAAAAAATTCATGATCTGGGACGCAGGAAAAATATAAATCCGGAATTTAGAATCATTGCAAGATCCTGAGACTTCAAAAATGAAGCTATCAGACTTTCATTTTAGTAATATAGTAACATTATTCTTTGGCATAATGGTCATGTGAATAGTGGAGTTACCCGTAGTTTAGGAAAATTGTGTGTGAGTTCCACGATGTTAGACTTTGATTCCCACTTCAGCCCGGTGAATTTTGCTTCAAAATAAAATTGCCTACTGGTCTGCTGGATGCTGTGTGTTGTACATTTAACACAATTTTTTAAATAGTGCGTAATGGATATTTGAACTTTTTGGGCATACCACTTCAATACTTTTCAACTTTTGGATGATTTTAGCAATGCTAACAAGTTATTTGCTTTATTTAATTTATTTAAACATGTAATGTATAACCATTCTAGCACTTTAAATGAATGCCAGATGATCATACTGACCTATTTTTACGGGAGATTGGCACATCACTTTGATTTCAATAGCATTATGTTAAAAATAGGATTTTTTGGAGCATTCCAGATTTTTCCAGATTTTATATTTTAGCTGGTCCAGATTTTTCTGAAAATGACCTGGCAACGCTGCTTGCAGCTGGTGAGTTTTGTTAGCTTGTTATTTCGAGCTGCGATATCACAGCTTGCAATATCAACCGCATTTGTTTGATATTCTTCGAGTTGTTCCGAGTTCCAGGCCGAAAATCTTCCGGTGCTGGTAAACTCGGTATTTGGCTGGGTACTGTAAGGAAAATCCACCGTTGCTACCATCATCTCATGGAAAGGTTTTAGAAAATCGAGGAGGACAGTTCACCTTCCACTAGGGTTACCATAACTTGAAAAGGAGGACATTTCATTTGAGGTTTGGAGACTAAAGAGGACAATGATTCCTTTTCTTAACATTAAATGAGGACAATGAGTTTTTATCAAGCGTTTTAATAATATGTGCGCTATCACAAAATTCTCGCCTAACATTTGAAAAGGGCCTATCCTCGTTAGTCAATTCTCTTTATCGACTTTTTCATTGGTTTATCAAGGCAACATAAACGAATTTCTCGCTAAGCTCGCAGCGCAGTTCGACAGAAGATGATGATAGCTTGCGCCTGAAACAACACACTGAATGGGAAATTCATTTGAAGTCGGGTTATTCTTGAAAGCGAAAATCTATGAAGAGAATCGATCAACAGTGATAGGCCCTTTTATTGTGTTGCGCGAGAATTCATGATTTGCAAAGGTTCAATTGAGATTATTCATAACTTGTAGTCGTTACCAATTCAATTCATCTTCTAGTTGTACTTCTGAAAAATGCATCAAGCTAGCCTTCATAATTCATTTTTGATACTTGGAAATGATCTAGTCTAGCTGATTTGCATGACAATTACTACTTTACAGCCTTAAAACCATCCCAACTTTTATCATTTACAAAAATCAGAATACATGTCATCGCTGATAGGAATCAACATGTAACATCTAAGCAACCTGGTAATTTTACCATTGATTCAGCATAGGACTCTAAGGCCGCTGCCATGGTGGGAGCGAAAAGGCGTGATTAGCGTTCTATACAAAAGAATTCTTATTATTGATATTATTGCTTACATTCGATTTCAGTATGCCTCTTCGGTCTCAGTATGGCAGCGGCCTAAACAAAATACCTAAAATCCCATACAACTAGAACGTCAAAATCGAACACATAGTGCCGTCAATCACATTCAATGTGTGTGGTGTGGTGGTGTTCCATTTGGTGAATTTTAACTTAAATTTGACAGATAGAAAATTTTCAAATAAACCTGCTATTGTACCAAATTTATTTCTGGCAAACCAAGAAGCAATTTTGACAAACACCTTTTCGAAAATCACACGATCAACAACAGAGAGATTTTCGAACATTATAATTTATTTTCGAAATATCAAATTTTAGTGAAATAAATTATAATGTTCGAAAATCCCTCTGTTGTTGTCTGATTTTCGAGAAATTGTTTGTCGAAATTGATTCCTGGTTTTTCTGAAATAAGTCTGGTAGAATAGCAGGTTTATTTGAGAATTTTCCATCTGTCAAATATAATTTAAAATTCGCCAAATGAATCCCAGCCTATAAATGTAGGGGATTGACAGCTGTAGTATACTCCTAGTACCACCATCGAATGGAATTTGCTAGATAATATGAGGTTGAGACATAATTAAACAAACAAGCTCTGCAAACAACGCTCTTTGAAAACAATTTTATGAATATGTTACTGGAAAAAAATGAAAAGATAAAAAGGATGACATTTTCGTGCAAAAGGAGGATGTAGAAAAATAATTGAAAAAGGAGGACATGTCCTCCTTTGGGATACCATATGGTAACCCTACCTTCCACCTACTCTGTTGAAGAGCAAGCCTACGAGCAGCATTTTTATCAAACCGTGTCGCGTACCCCGGAGGGCCGATACGTAGTTCACTTACCTTTCAAGGAAGCCGTCCTTGAGCAACTTACGGATAACCGTCGGACTGCTGTCCGTAGGTTTCATCTGCTACAAAGTCGTCTAGTCCGGAATCCTGATCCACGCCAGCAGTATAAGGCATTTATAGAAGAGTATATCGGCCTTGATCATGTGGAGCGGATACACGACTACGAAGAGCCAAACGTCAAACGCTTTTATCTTCCACATCATGCGGTGCTTCGCGAAGACAGCACAACCACGAGACTACGGATCGTCTTCTAGGCCTCGTGCAAGACTCCTACAGGGCATCATTGAACGATGCACTAATGGTTGGGCCAACCGTTCAAGTAGACATACGGTCAATCACAATGCGTTCGTGGAAGCACCAGGTCATGATAGTCGCAGACGTTAAAATTATGTATCGCCAAGCTCTTGTCGATCCTCGAGACACGTCAGTCCAGCTCATCGTCTGGAAGCCTTCTAAATACAGACCTAATTTCCCTTTAGCAGCTACAGTTCTGAAGAAAGATTTCTACGTGGACTATCCCTTTTCCGACGGCAAAACCGCAGCGGAAGTAATCGAGCCGCGAAACCAGCTAGAAGGACTCCTATCAAAGGGTGGTTTCCAGCTACGTAAGTGGGCCTCAAATGATGAAGCTGTTCTCGACGGAATTCCACCCGAAAACCGTGCCGTGCCGACCTTCACCGTGACCATGTAATCAATACACTCGACCTCTGCTAGGAGATATCAACTGACTGACCACGCTTCCAAATTGAATTGCCATCGGACTCTCTTCGAGATAGCAGATAGTGATTTTCTCGACTGAAAGTTTATATCCGCTACAAATCCGCGAAAATCACGAAATCCGCGCCTGTTGTAACAGCCCTGTATAATAATTTCCCCCGGGGGTGCTTACCCCAGAAGCCCGTAATAGAAAAAGAAGTGTAAAGGACATCAAACAAAACCACTCACCTTTACAAGTCCCCCGATGTTTCAGGCTAACCTGATGCCCACTGCACTGCGCCCGGATCAGATGGCACCTGGTCGGGTAGGTTTGATTGTCAGTACCGCACACCGGACGACCCTTGCTCTCATCACACTCGCCACCCTTGGCCGTACATTCCGAGATCTGCAAGTTAAGATTAGAACAATAAAATCCAAATTAACACTTGCCTGTCATCGGCGGCATTTGAATCGCTGCAACATTCTAACAACCGAGCGCAATCAATCGAAGATTGCATATAAAAATAAAATGGCTTCATTAGAGGCAAATAACGCATTCATTTAACTCGATCGATAACGATCGGTCGGTAAAAAAAAAGTCTCTTCCATCATCGCCGTCGTCGTCGCATTTGTCGTTCTCAGCTAGCGTCTCCAGACCGAAGGGGAACCTGCTATACAGGCAAACGATGATTTACCAATAAAGACAACTCGTCAAGCACCATCGCAGTTATTAATGGCCAGCAGCGGCGGAGGAAAGCCGATACGAGCGAAAACAAATCGTTAGAAGTAGGTATTGGAGGAATTAATCGTCCGCGATCGTCGTCCGGGAGAGGAATTATGAGCGAAACGATAATGATGGCGCCAATTTTCATTAGTGTTTGCAAATTGTTCGACCCCTTGCGTATCACCCCTTGCCCCATTCTGTGCGTTTGCTTCGAACCGTTTTCCTATACGGGATACGGGAATAGGAAAATCGTAAACAGTAAATACAGTCAACTCTGTACAACGCGATATTGAACGGACCATCGACTTGACGATTCATATCAAGTTAGCTAGTTACAACACAACTAATGGAGAATCACTAGATGGGACCCCGGAATTGGTCAGAAATAGTTCAGTTACTCGAAACCGATTTACGGAATATCGGATTGTGAAGAGTTGACTGTATTGTTTTTCTACTAAAATATAAGTCCACCTATGCTGAAAGGAATTCCAACGTGGCTCTTCTAGATGATCCGAGGGGTCATTCATCGTGGGAATAGTTGGAAAACAACTGAAGGAAAATCCTACTTCGAAGAGGTTTGAATTGGTGGAAGATCTTTGATCTTTTACTTGAAGTCGCCTGCATATCCACTTGAACTTCCCAAAAAATTGCGTTGCCAGTTAAAATTATGGAAAAGATTAAATTTATCAGGGATTTAAATTTTTCGAATTTCTAAGTGCCAATCAACTGTCACAATCGAGCTGTGCTAATTTCCGACTGCCATGCGCCCCGGCGATAAAATACACGCGCAGGATGCCACAGACAAACACACCTACCCACGTATGGCCACCAATGGGAATACGGGAAGACGATCGATGAGACGGGATCGTCATTTCGCGTGCACGTTTGAGAGCCTGTGTGTTTGTTTACCGTTTTTGTTATTACATTGTTTATTGATAATATTAAATAATAATCCCATTAAAGTAAGCTGCCACCGCCGTCATCGATGCATGAAGCGGCTTCACCCGGTTGGGTGCACGTCGGATTGCTGGCATGTGTCTAATAGTGGGACTGTGCAAATTTGACGAGCTAAGCAATCCGCGCGAGTTGTCAAACAAAGTTGACACACAATTCCAGTGGTGACGTCACTCGGTTCAATCACCGACAAATTGACACGACGCGGGCGTAATCACTTGTCAAAATAGGAGGGCGAACACGTGCCTACTTATCCATCAGCAAAGATCGCGGTCGATCGAACGACAAATGTCACACAAACGAAAGACGTCACCGGTAAACTAAAGACACATGGAAGGAATAAAAGTTCAACGGAACCCGGGCCTCGTGAGCTATCAAATTGAGTCTGATTGAGTGGAATTGTGGTTTATGTCTTTGCGGATGGTGTATAAACTTGTCCACGACCGAGGGCGCTCTAATCAGGCGCACGTATCATTTGGGATTAGTGCGAAATTCTAAACTACTTTCGTAGTAAACCCATCATTGATAAAAGCGAGGGCCAACGGTATTTTATTCTCGGAAGAGTTCGCTGATACCAAAGAGTGGTGACACATTGAGTTAATTTGATGTAAGGAGTTAAGTTTTTACGATGAATCATTTGCATGCACTGTTTGGACTGAGGAATGTTGACTACTTCCGAGTACATGACATGACATTTCTTTAAAAAAAAACACGTTTTCCATTATGTGATATCAGTAGAATAATTGAAAATACTCTTAGTCATTTCTCACTGCTAGTTCGATTCATTTTATAAAATGTTCTTCATGGAAACTTGCCAACACTGAGAAATTAAAAAAAAAAAAAACTGACAAAAACTTAAATTACTCAAAATATCCTTGTTCAATGTTTTTGAAATATTTTTATAATAAAGCTTTTGAAAAATGCATATTTTTGAAATGTTAAAATCTTTGGATACTTAAAAATCTACAAAAGTTGTAGAACAACAACTTTTGATAATACACTCAAAATAATCGACACATTATTGTTACGTGAAAAATCACGTGGAGTCTCTCTTTTCACTTGTATGTCAAATTGATGACACAAGTAGAGTCTACGTGATACCACATACGTATCAACAGGAAGTCCCTTTAAAGTCAATGGGGTTTTTAATGAAACGCACGTGATTTGCACATACACAAATTATATGTGCATTTCACGTAAACCCTAAGTGATTTTCACATATGAAAAAATAAATGAGTGCCTCACTCATAATGGTACACAATATGGTGGAATTGCAATGTGCATGTTTACACGCCAGTTAAAATCGTGGGGCCTATTTTCGTGAGACTATTTCGTGTTGTAAGTATAATGGCTGAACATTTTATCATAGGCAAATTTTATGGCGAGAATAATTTGTAATATGTTTCTTTATTTTAGTCTGACGACAAGGAGTACCATGGATTGAACTGCTAGTTAAATGGCTCTTTATCATATGTGTTCTATATCCTCCCCGAGTCCAGTTTCGCTCGAATTAATTTCTACTTCTGTGTGTAGGTATATTTGCCACAATAAAGATACAATGGTCAAGGAATACTGTAGGATCTTTTTTCATCTGAAATCAAGAATACATTTGATTTAAACCGGAATAAAAATCATTGAAAACCACCATGAATTCCATCGAAAAAATCACATAACATCTACGTGATCACCCCGTGACCATCTCGCTCACTGAAATGAGTGCTTTCATACGGTAATCACGTAACACTTACGTGAAAAGTGCGATGGAAAAAATCTATGTGTGTTTTCACGTAGCATGGACGTGAAAATTATTATGAGTGTATATTAGAACTGTTTTTATATAGGGTAAATTATGGCTTCGGCACCCATGGGCTGTTTTCGACAACTAAAATTTAAACGTTAATTTCGCCAAAACACCAAAACACTGAATGTATTTAACCGATTCTTTAGTCTTTCAGCTTCAGTCTGCTTACATTTTTACGAAGGATCAAACCTGTTAAGTCAGGTTTTCTTCAAATGAAACATACGCACTACAAAATACGACTGATTTCGATAATTGAACCGAAGAAAATGAGGCGACCGACAATAGTCACAATCACCTGAGAAGTTTGAAGCGTTGTTAAAAGGTTTTCGAACCGTTTTGAACAATTCTGTCGAATGGAATGTATAGAATAGCAACCAGTAGATAAATGTGAACAAACAAACACGTCATATGTGAGCGTGACGCTGAGAAATTGTTTTTGACTGAGTACCAATGCTACCGACGTCAGGGAAGTGGTAACTGCCCGAGCAAAGTTGGAGATCAAATTGAAATCAAAATTTGTTGTTATGATGTAACTTATTTTGAATACTCCAGTTGATCTCATTTTGGTTGACTTAACGGTTAACACAGCAGAAATGAGAGCAAAATTTTACATTGTTGAATCAAACGGAAAACTAATCTTGCTTTCAAAGAAATCACTTTGATTTCTGATTTTGCATTCATAATGTTTAACTGAATACGGACTTGGCGTAAATCGTTAGCATCCATGCTTCTCACGTTGAAAGGCTTAAGCTCAAATCTAACCACGGGCAAGTAAGGAATGTTCTAAAATATGTTAAACAAAACAAATAAACAATAATCGTTAGTTCAACGACAGATGAGCTTACATTAAATTTTAAACAAGACGTTAACAGCAGAACTTCAGTTGCTTTCATTTAAAAAGTCTTGACTGCATAATGGAAGCACAATATGATATCAGACTAATGTCGTGACAATTGAAATCAAAATAAGTTTTCATTGTGATAGGAACTGCAAACTATAATATCGATTTGCTTTCAGTTTGTTAACCGACTTTGGAACATCAGCTGCAGAGGTTTCAATCAAAATGAAAGAATTGCGCGGAGCGAATTGATGACAACGACAAGTATGTGCTCTGCAGCGGAACCTGCAACAGACTGCTTCACGTAAATTGTGCTGGTTACAAACGTTACAAACTTCAAGGCTTGGTCGTCAAACGATGGACTTCTTAGGTTCTGTGATGCATGTAGGGTTAATTTTAATCCAATAGTCATGGATCGTGAATCTCACAGACTAAACGCATTTCGTGGTCTCATGATCAGAGTGGACATGCAGGATCTTCGAATTGGACATCCACATGAGAAAGGAATCGAACGTGGATGCAAGACTACATCAGCTGTCGTCCAGAACATCAATGAATGCTCCTACAGACTCTATCCTCGGCATAGACCGGATGAATCTTGATAGTTCACTGCGTTATAACATTTTCGGTAATCATGATGAGCCAACGACCTCGGTAACCACTCCTGTTGCCAGTCGAGCTGCAGCCTTAACTACCACCACAACGGCCATCGCTAATGTTATTACAGCCAGTACCGCCAGTAGACCCAACGTTAGCACCACATCCGTTGCAATGGCATCAGGTGCATCATCCACCTGTTCCGTTGCCATGTCTACAGCTACGATCAACACCGCGTAGTGTTGGGAAAATATCAAAAAATCAAATCTCACCAACGCCCAAGATCACGATTGATTTTCGTAGACAAAAATCAACAAGCAAACTACTACGGTTGATTTTGCAAGCTGTGATATCACAGCTCAGAATATCAAGCTAACAAAACTCACCAACTGCAAATCTCACCAAACTGTGGTGAGATTGAGTTTAATGATTTTCGCTTTACACCCGAATGCAACCGAAACTTCCAAAACGGCTTGCAGCAGTCCTTTCGCG